GTCATCTCCCATGCCTGTCTATCTTCTAGTTGCTTAAAGAGGACCAGTTCTGTAGGAATTAGTCCCCGCCCCCCATTTCCCCGACTCTCCCCCCCACCCCATCCTCTGGGAGCAGAAACACACTTTTAGCTGCATGCAGCAGAACATTCCAATTCAATACCAGACTATGTGAGAAGACACTCTCTCTGGCAGCCTTGGGAGGGCCACTGGTGTGCTTGCTGACTTGGCAGCCCAGGCCCAGGGTGCACCCTGTCTTTCTGCTGTGCCATCCTGGTGCTGGCCACTCCACTTCCTGACTGTATGGCATCTTGCAGCAGACCCAGATGTCTTAGACATTACAATGCATGACATGACAGGAAGAGGGACATTTTCTTTCTACGTGACACATTTTATCAGCAATAAGACACTTCAACAACATTTAGTGTGCATCAACCATGTAGAAATCGTATGTTTTCATGGCAGTGGCTTTCGTCTTTAATGATTTTTGGCTAGTGAATTGCTGCTCAAATAAAATCTTGGGCCCGTGTGGTTGTGGCATTCAAAGAATCAATTCAGCTTCCAAACAAACTTGAACTAGCTGCAAATAAATTGTGTAGTCCATCTAAAGAGTCGACTTGTTCCCAGGGGAAAGCCCTCACAGGCCCCACTTCAGTCCTGCATCTCTTGCACAGCTGACTTGCAGTCATTCCTTCCAGCTCGCTCCCCTGCATTAAATCCCAACTCCAACCTATAGGCATGTTCTTCCTCTTTCTTTCCTTTCCTGTTTTTCCTCTTTTATGCAAACCTTCACCCATTTTTACACTCTTGCAAGCTGCTAAGTGGGGTGTCCCACAGGGCCCAGGAGCACAGATCTGGGGAGGCTATGAGCAGCACTGCAGGCTCCTGTGCTCTGCTGCACTGACTTCCATGTCGGCTTTTCATCTAGTCTCCCAGGAAGACTAGAATGACATTTGACTCTTTCTTCCTGCCACTGCAGTGTGTTATAGTTATAACACATTTTTAAAGTGTTAGAATTTAGACAGATTGGAGTTTGAGTAACCACTCTGCCACTTGCTACCACTTGTGGTAGGTACTAAACAACTTTTTAAAACTTAAATTTAAAATGCTTCCTTTGATCAAAGCAATACTTACAATTTTTAAATTCCAGTAATATTTCTAGATCTGTAACAAAAATAGCAGTTGTCCACACCACTCATCCTCACTCCCAATTCCTTCCCCTATGTTTTTTTATCTCGTATAAACGTCTTTTGGAATGTACGGTTTTTGGTTTTTTTTTTAAGCGCTTCTAATGCTTGGTCCTATTTTTCAGTTGGGGACATGGTCCATGGACTTCCTAACTCTAGAGGATGACGAATTAAATCTTTCACTCTCACGTCCGAGACACACACATATTTTTTTTTTTTTTTTAGTTTTATTTTTTTTGAGTTGGAGTCTCACTCTGTCACCCAGACTGGAGTGCAGTGGCCACTCCCGGCCACCGCAACCTCGAACCGCTGGGCTCCAGCGATCCTTCCACCTCAGCCTTCTGAGTAGCCGGAATTACAGGCATGCACTACCATACCCGGCTGATTTTTTTATTTACTATAGAGATGAGGTCTCGCAAGTTGCTCAGGTGGGTCTCGAACCCGTGGGCTCAGGCAATCCACTCACCTCAGCCTCCCAAAGCGCAGGATTACAGGCTGAGCCCCCGAGCCCAGCTTCACACACACATTTATAAATACATATAAGCTCACCTCCTTTTTTTCAGACATAGTTGTATCAGGTTATCTGATTCAATTAGCATTCAGCAATTATCTTGTTACGATTATGTAAGTATTATGCACAGCTAAAGCATATGATATGATTACATTTCCTTTTTTGTACATTGTTTGGTTTTCATGGAGTCAAGAATGGCCACATTTATTTGTGTATTAACGTCCCTATGCAGTTATTACTTCCCCTCAACAAACACTGAAGATCTCCTTTTAAAAAATCCAGACACATCAAGGCAGTCTGTGGGCTTCTCTCCTCTCTGGATTCCTCCTCTTGGAGGCCTGTCCTCCCTTAGGTGTTCTATGGGTTTCACTTTTCTTTTGAATCACCTCTTCCATCCTCCTCGGAAGGAGTTCCCGGCTACTGTCCTGGGACTTCTTGCTTCCTCTCTCCTCATTGGAGCTACCTGCTTTCTAGGTCCTAAATATTCTTCTTTTTTGATTCATTTCCTAATTTGGAAAATACCCTCCAGGAGCTCTCTGAAATAAGGTATTTGGTGGATAATACTGTTGAGTTTGCATATCTGAAAACATCACTATCCAATAACTTAACTAATTTAACCAATGAGAGTTAAATATTATTTTCTTCAGAATTTGGAAGCTAATGCTCCACTGTATTTCAGCTGTCTGGGAGTCTGTGGAGAGTCTCTATGCCATTTTTATTTCCGGTGCCTTAAATGTGACCTTTATTTTTCTTTTGGAAACTCTTAAGTTCTTTTCTTTATCCCTGGTGCTCTGAAATGTGACAGTGTGCCTCGGTGTAGGTCATTTTAGGTTTGGTGTGCTGGGCACCTGATTGGCCCTTTCAATATGTCTTGTAGATATGTAAGTTTTCTTAAATTGTTTCTTGAGTAATTCCCTTCTCTGCATGTTCTTTATTCTCTTTTCCTGTAATTCCTGGTTTTTAGATGTCAGACTTCTTCATCTTCTAATTTTCTTGTATTTTCTCTTTCTTCATCCCTTTTTGTCCCACTGTCAGAAGATGCCATCAAATCTGTCTTTGGATAGCTGAGGACTGTCAACTGGGGACACTTACTGCAGGGTGATCAGATCAGACTGCCTCTTGAGGCATCCACAGCCCTGCTCCTCTTCCCTCCTGCCCTCAGCATGAACTCCTGGCACTCTGTCACACCACCAACATTTTATGTTGGTTTCTTTCCTAGGTTTCTCCTTTGGCCAGGAAGTCCTTCCTCTGCTAATCCTGTCTCAGATCCCACGGGCCCTTTCAGGCTCAGTTCACACAGTGGCTCCTTGTAGCCTTTTTCATCCCTGTCTTAGTCTTTTCAGACCGCTACAGTCAAGTACCATAGACTGGGTAGTTTATAAACAACAAAAACTTCTTTCTCATAGTTGTGGAGGCTGGAAGTCTCAGATGAAGATGCCAGCATGGTTGGGTTCTAGGGAGGGCTCTCTTCTAGGTGCAGGCCATCTTTCCATTTTACCTTCACAGGCTAGAAAGAGGGCAAGAGAGTTCTCTGGTCTTATCTAGTTCCATTCATGAGGCTCAGGACCAAAGCCTCCCCAAAGCCATCACAATGTGTGTTAATTTCAACATGTGAATTTTGGGCAGATAAAAACATTACAAGCCTTACTATATATTTCACTTGTTTTCTAATATGTAATGTATATTAGTTTGTGTCCCCAACCATAATGTGAACTTCTTAAGACTAAAGGCCATTTCCCATACTTCTTGGTGTAACCCGACAGCACCCAACCGGCAACAATAAGTGCTGAGCACTGTTTGTTGATTTTATATAGAAGAATAAAAAAGCCACCATAAAGGAAACCCTTGTATATCAAGAGATTGTTTCCCAAATTCATTAATGCATACATGGTGTCACTTCAATTTTGTAATGTTTTTTGAGTGCTCAGTCAAGTGCTTTTGCCAGAGATTGTGAAGGAAATCAACAGGACGTTTTTTCTTAGAACAACATTTTACCATTTTACTTCCCTGATGGAAGCTTCACTGGCTCACCAGGTCTTATAGAACCCTGCTGAGATACAGTATGTGCAAGGGTAGGTTTTGAGATGTATCATAAGTAATTTTGTTTTATCAAGTTTGGACATTGGTCAATAATTTACTTTTTAAAAAGTAGATTGGTTTCAAGGCTATTATTCTGTTCTCACTCACATGTGGCTTCCAAAAGGTTCTTTTGGTTGAAAAGGGCGGAATTGCAGCTAGAGAAATGGATTTGTGTGTAATCTGGAGCCTGCCATATCTGCTAGCCCTGGGGAACATAACCTGAAAGTGAATTTAGCCATCTTAGAGAAGCTTCAGAAATAAGGGTGAAACTGGCTTTCAGAGTTCAGCCCCCTTAACACCACGAGGGAGCTCTGCCAGGTGACACTTGTTTGCCCGCCCAGTTTTATCCCTGTCCGTGTGCACACTGAACTTCCTAGGAAGCATCGCCCTCCCCCACTGTCACTTTCCTGTCACTGCCCTGCTCTTCTCCCTGGAGATCTCTCACACCCCATTGGACTGGCAAACCTGACCGTCAAAACGCGTCAGCCCAAGAGTAGTTTACAATTGTGGCAATAAGCACAGAGGCGCGTATGTTTTTCTGGTGCTTACCACCGGCGAGGCCCTCCGCTGCGTCGTCTGGAGCACTGTCTGGGAAGTCACCGCCGTCCGACTGGGGGCGGTTACAGAACTTGCCCGAGGCCACACGGCCAAGAGAGGAGGAAACCAATTCCCCACCCCTGCCAAGGCCTCTAGGAAAGCCACAGCCACTGTCCGGAGGTGGTGGCAGCCCCGGGGCCGCGCCCGTTTCCGGCCAAGACCCTCCCCTCCTGAGCCGGCCTCGCCGCCCCGCTGCAGACCGCGCTGCGATCCCGATGACCCGCGGTCCACACAGTCCGCGCCGCCACCTTGCAGACCGCGCCGCGACCCGGGTGACCAGAGCCTACAAGCCTGCAGAGAAGCAACTACCGGTGTTCCAGGGTCAAGCCACCACTCGACCCGGCAGGACAGTTTTATGGAACAAAGAGGGACAAGGCCGGTGCCAAACAGATGCCTGCGGGAAGCTGAGGACCGCGCGGCCAGCGGCCTGGGAGGAATCCGCACGGTTGCCGAGGCAACGGACCGAGGCGTCTCTCCCGACGCCTGCGCAGCCCACCCTCCGGCGCGCTGCCCTCCTCCTGTTCTTCCAGGGCCCGGCCGCCCAGGTCCCGCCCCAGCCCCGCCCCGGTGAACGGGGCGGGCCCTCGGGCGGAAGCGCCTCGAGCGGAAGCGGAAGTGAGCCGGCGGCTGCGGCGGAGGCTACGGTGCTGAGGGCTGAGCAAACGCACCTCTGGCTGGTGCTGGCGCATCTCTAGGTAGGGCTGGGCCGGAGGGGACCCGCGCGCCGTCCAGGGTCGTCCTGGCCTGCGTGGTCGCCAGTGGCCCGCGTCTGCCCCACGTGCGCGTCGTCCTCGGTTCCTTGCGCTGCCCGGCCCGGATGCCATCCCCGGCCGCGCTCCCGTCATGTCACCGCGGCTGCGACTTCGTGGGGTCCCTTGTGTTGCTGCCGCAGGGGTGTGGGGTGCCTGTCGCCGCCCAGGTCCCGCAGCCGTCGCCGGGCTCTCCGCGTCCGCAGTGTCGCGCCCTGACCTCCGACCAGCAGTTCCTTCCAGTCTGCCCCGCTTGGTGCCATCTCTGAGCCCGAGCCCTTCCCCGAAGGCGTGTGTCCGGCACGATGTGTCCTTTTTGGGTCAGGTGTATTATCCTTCACTGCGTTTCCGGTCGTCCCTAGAAGAGGCGTGCTCTGACCACATCCTCCCCAGTCATCCCTGGCTGTCCCCTGAACCAGGGTCCAGCATCTCCCAAGTGTTTCCTTCCTCGATGAGGGAAGGATGAAAAGACAGGGCTTCCTGCCAACAAGGAACCAATGGGCTAGTCCTGAGCGTACTATAGACCCGACCAATCAGTGTATCTTAGAGGATGATTTGCCCAGATTGCCAAGGAAGGGCCAGGAAGTTTCATAGAGGAGGTGGAGTTTGAGCCAAGTTTTCAGTAAGTAGGTGTTGAGAGGTGAACAAGGTGGAGAAATGTTTACGATATGAATGTTTCAGACAGCCTGACACATTCGTTGAATTAATGCGATCAGATTTTAGTGTTAAAAATAATCCCCCTGGTTGATAGGAAGTGGGATGGTGCTGTGGGGTGACTGACAGAGACAGAGGGCTTTTGCAGATGTTCAGGGACTGAAAACCCAGAAGCAGGGGTGCAGAGAGCCTGGAGGTAAAAAGTGAGATGGTGGACTTCTGAATGGTTTGAGCTGAGTAGATTACTCAGAAAGTGAGAACTGCAGACTGGAGAGCATGTTGGGAGCAGCTGAGTCCTCACCACTTCCCAGACGTGTTTGCATGCCTCATTTGCAGCTGTATTCCCAAGTTCCTCCATGCTCACATCATCCTTTTGTTCTGGCTTCTGACTCGGGGCCCCTCTGCATAGCCCATCTTTGGACCTTTCTTCAGGAGCCACCATCCATGTCATCACTGTGGCCTTCACTTTCTCAGTGTTTTGATTTCCTTGTCATTCCATTTCTGCCATCTCCAAGCTCCACCATTAGTGGAGCCCCCCCCCCTTCTTTCGCCTTGAAACTCTAATTGTGCTTTTCTTAGTGGTTGTGTTCTTGAAAAGCACCAGCACCATAGCTGGGCCAGGGTCCTCGCTGCTCATCATGTGTGTGTTTGTGTGTGTGTGTGTGTGTGTATGTATGTATTTGGATCACCTTACCTCCTAGGTTCTTTGTTTAGTTTCTAACAACCTAATCTTCTAGACATTTTGCAATCTCTGGTCACCTGTGGCCCTGTGAGAAGACTTACAGTAGGTGGTATCTAAGGTCACGTGCAGTTTTTAGCATCCTGAGATTCTACCCTATTCAATAACCTGATTCTGATTCTGGGTATCATTTATGGGGCAGATTTACTGTAAACTTAATGATTCAAGCTTCTGGCTCTCGCTTGCATGGGGCCCTTCCCAGACAATAGGACCACTGCAGTCTTGTGTTTATAATTTGTATCCTATTCTTTTTTTTCTTTTTTTGAGTTAGAGTCTCACTCTGTCGCCCAGACTGGAGTGCAGTGGCCGCTCCCGGCCACCACAGCCTCCACCTTCCGCCTCAGCCTTCCAAGTAACTGGAACTACAGGCGCGCCCTACCACGCCCAGCTAATTTTTGATTTATTGTAGAGATGAGGTCTCGCCAAGTTGCACAGGTAGGTCTCGAACCTGCAGGCTATTCTTAAAAGAGGAATCTCGAACTGTATGTTTCAAGCCCTTCATAACTTGGATTTTGACAAAACTGGCCATTTATCATACTTGCTGCCTTGAGATTTGCATTTTTGTCCTTCAGACCTTTCCCTCTGCACCTTCCACTCCTTCCCCTTCCAGTGTATACTTGTATTTAGTCCGAGAGAGAAAATGGAACTGATCACATTCTTGCCATCAACTGACTTTATTTTTCCTTGGTGTCAGGAGAGAGATGTCAGAGGTTAGTAGCCCAGCACTTTGGGCAGAATCTTTGTAACTCCTTTGTTGCAGGCTTAAACTCATGCATTGTTAGATTTAGTTCACTGCTGAGTTGCCACTTCCTTCAAGAAAAGGTTGATGGTAAAAAAAGACTCCACTTAATGGAAATCATAAAAGCAACTTTTAGCTCCATGGAAACTAGGGTTGTACACAGTAAATTCATTTAGAGGAATTTATTGCAGCCATTCTTTTATTACTTTGAGAATGCTGTCCGTTTTCTTAAAATAGAGATTTATAACAAGTATAAGTAACATTATTTTCATTTGCTTTAAGACGTCTGTTTCTTTGTAAGGCATCTTGTTGAAAAATCTTTAGGTTTAAAAGCATGTTATTCAAAGTTTAAATTATTTATGTAAATGAAGTAAAGTATTTCTAGAGTTTTTTTTTTTTAGTAGTAGTAGTAGTAGTTTAAAATTTCCCGAGTGTGAAAGGTAAATCATTATCTTATTTTTACAAATAAGGAAATCAGTGATGTGCAAAAAGACAAATGATTTGTCTCCAATCATACAGTAAATCAGGCCTGTGCTAGTCATAAAATCTCGCACCTGAGCACCGTTTGCCTTATAAACAAATGCTACTCACTACAGAGGCATCTCTTTTAGTCAGCTCTTATTATAGAACATTGAATATAAGATGGACCAAATTATGTCCTTCAGTGTATCTATAGCCTTATCTGTCTATTTGCACATATGCACATATATTGATGTGCTAGATTCTAGCAAAGTGGGCAGTATTAGTACTGTTCCTATTCAGACTTTAGCCCAAAGAATTAGCTCAACATGGATTTATGCAAATTATAAAGTCATTTACAATAAAACCATGGCCAACTATGAAAAGAGGATAGTAACTTTCTGAATATCAGAGTTTTCAGAATGGTTTAGGTTTTTACCCATTAAGCACCAAAATATCCCATTTAGGATGGGAATCTTTCAAAAATAAATTATTTCTTTGTGTTCATAAATAGAATGTAAACATTCCTTAATGATCTCAAGTGATGATTTTAAACATAATTTGCTGTGTTGTAAACGGTGATGTTCTTAGGCTTGCTGAGCCATGTGCAACTATTTCTGCCAAGAATTTTTGTCTTCCACTTTTTTCGGTTCTCTTTCCTTTTATTTTCCCTGGTCACCTGTCAGCACTTGCTGTTCTCAGCATTTCTGCCTAAGGTGCCCTGGCTATACTTTTCTTTACTGTGGGTTCAGGAACCAGTTTTTAGAACTGATCAGAAGTCTAGTCCATAGAGGGTAAAGAGCCTGAGGAAGTCTCTTGTGAATAAGTTGTCTAAGCTTTAGTTTATGAACTTTTTGATTTATAGCAGATTGTCTTATCTTGAATTCCAGATAAATGAGGCCTTATAAATGCATATAGGTGTACACCCATTTTCTCTTTTCTGCATTCAGAACAGTGGTTTTGCATTGTGCTTCTGAAGGGTTTTGTAGTGCTCAGTGGGATAGGGAAGGGCCAAGGACACAGAGTTCTGGGTTGTTGGGAAGGTCAGAGACCCACCTTCCATCCTGATCCTCCTGTTAGGGCCCCTGAGTGGGCTAGCAATTGGGAAGGAATGGTCTCTGGGGTAAGGACACATCCAGCGGGTGGCTCTGAAGGGAGGCTTTTGGGCCTCCTGACACACAGTAACCAGATCATGCTAGCATGCAACAGTGCTAGGTGAGGGCTGTGCCCTACTGAAAGGAAACCAGGCTTTGGAGACAGGTGGATGGGAATCCTGGCCTCCCTGTTGGTGACTGCCAGTGGTCTCAGGCAGGTGACTTCATCTGCCACACTTGGCTGCCTGCCCTCAGCTACTCCAACAGAGCATGTCTTTGACAAAAGAGGCTGCACAAAATTAAAAATGCTCTCTGATCTGGACAGCAGGAGTGGAGGGGATGTCATGGGGCTTTTTGTGTAATTTGCACATATTTGTGTAAAATACACATATATAATCAGGTGCATTTTGGTATTTCCACCACTTCCTCCCCAGGCTTTCTTCTTCTGCAGAGGGCACTGAGCCCTTTGCTTCTCTGTCTTTCAAGATTCACCATCTTACTCAGGGAACTTGTCATTTTCATTGTATCCACAGCTCCTAGCATGGGACCTGGAGCATAGTGGATACTGGATGAGTGTTTACTGAGTGAATTTCATGCCCTTGGTGCATCTGTGGAGTCGTAGAAGAGGGTCTCCCTGCCCTTTGTCTTTTACAGTAGGAAGTCGTGCTCTTCATCCCTCTAGCCGTAAGATTCTTCCAGAATAGGGAGGGTGATTGGATGCTGTTGTTTTGTTTCCGCATTTAATGAACAAATTTATAACAAAGTTGCAGGTTAGGTTAAACTACTTAACAGAACAAATGTTTTAAGTACCCTAGAAACATTCGCCTAATAATTAAAAGGGCTACCTTTGAACCTTTAAATCATTTCCTCTGTTGCTCAGGCGTGGTCTGGCCACAGCTGTCTGTCCTCAGGCCTCACTTTGAGGGCCCTTTCCTCAGGGGCTATCTCAGATCCTAAGACTGGTTCAGGACCCGACTGTTCCCCAGCACTCTGTCCCCTCTGTCCTGCAGTTACACCCAAGAGACCATCACTTGCTGGGCATTATCCCTGCCAGGCCGTTGCTGCTGGAGGGCAGGGCCCTCCTCTGTCTTGTGCATTTTGATATTATGCAAGAGCTGTTCTCATGCCGGTGTGAAAGTCAGATTTAGTGAATAAGCCAACCTTATTTTCTAATAAAATTACCAGGTATTGTTGGAGGGAAGGAGTTTCACATGGGTCTATATTTGGTACTGTTGAAGAAGGACTACCCATGCTGCCTTTA